GCATCAGCATGGGCGTTTCGAGGGGCTGCTCAACACGGACTGCTCCCTCGATCGTTCAGACGAGCTTTCGGAAAGCATGATGATCCGGCTGATGATGATGGTGACGATCGTGGCGGTGGCATCCCTGGCGTGAAAAATAAAAAGGTTCTCGAAATCTTCAGCTTGCCAGATGTTCGCAGCCAGTTCGAGGTCGCAGAGGTGATTTCGCGCCCGATCCAATCCTTCCTGAACCATTCTTTCAGCAGAAAAAGCAGTCAACCACGTGATCGAACTCGCGAAGACCATTCCGAGGGACGGCGCAGGCGTGCCCATCGATCGCCTTCTCGAGTTGTCGGCCGGCCAGCAACAGTCTTCAGCGTTGAACCTCGAAGTGCTCGACGGTGGGCGGGCGGAAAAGGTAATTTCATCGTTTGGGAAGTTATTGCTTGATCTGGAAGACCCTCTGTGGGCTGAGGTTGACATGTTGGACAACATCGGGAACTTCAATCAAGTGTGCGATGCGATGCTCTGCGCAGCTGGTGATTGCTACTACAGGCTCATGCTCCCAACGTTTGACCCGAAATTCAAGATCCTCGGAATATGTAAGTCTTGGGGCTTTGATGCTGGGCTTATCAATGAGGTGGCAAAAGAATTGAGGAAGTTAGAAGATGCCTATGATTGCGATCAGTGTTTGGACCCCCACTTTACAAAAATATGGTTCTCGAGATTGGAAGGCCCCCTCGAAGAAGCCAAGCGAGCCCACTCCGACTTAAAAGACATACTGAGCATCCTGCCAGTGGGGGCGGCGAAGGTAGAGCGCAAGCATATCGTTGGACAGCAGTTCAGACCAGCAAAGGGAAAGCGAGGCAGAGCCTTTTCGAAACGTCAGTTGGCCAAGCACGCCCTTTGCAAGTCAATCAGGATCTCACACACGGCATTGCAGCGACGGGTGATGGACGATGTATTTGGCAATGCATGTGCCAGAAAGGCGTTCTTCAGACATCTCCAGAGCTTTTCGATGAGGACTGCCAGGAAGCGACGGCCCGACACAGTGGCATCGCTAGACCCAGGGGCAGCGGCTAGGGCGCCGAGCAGACGCACCCGCGCCTTTGACATATTCACGTCGGAACTGTTTGGCATTTTGCCTGCAACGATGTCGTTTGCTGAGAGACGTGCAAGAGTTTTGGGAGACTGGAGGGCGCTATCAAATCACGATAAGGCAGAGTACCAGGCACGAGCTGATGCCAGAGACATTGCTCGAGGCGACGGGGCTGGTGAACAACTACCTGGAGGGCGACAACGGCAACGTACTGATCGCATGCGAGCTGTTCGACGGAAGCTTGCAGAACTCGTTGGGCACGATGCTTGGGCTGGTGCGCGGGGAATGCAGGGTGGGGTGCAATTGTGTTGTTCGCCTTTCCCTCGCCTCGTCACCCCCCGCCTCCTCCTCGTCCTCACCTTCGCCCTCCGCGTCAAGGCCATGGCGCTCGTTGTTCCGTGCCCTCTCTCCTCCCGCCCCCGATCCGTACCCCTGTCATGCATCGTCGCGCCTTCAGTGTGAGCATGTATGTATTAGCAATGGTGTATCAAGCTGGTCTGACCTAATCTGGCGAGTTTCGGGATTGTTCCGTGCGTGCAGAAACGCTAACGGAATCGCCGTTCTAGGTCGGTAGCCCGCGCGTCACGGCGGCGAGCTCTAGCTCGGGGCAACCATGTCTAGTTATGGTGTGTAGAGGGCAATTGTCGCGGTGAGTCCGTGGGCTAGCGCGCCCCATAACGTTCTGAAGAAGCTGTCCCCCCTCTCATGGGTGGTTAAGAGAGGCGGCCGCCCCTCTCAGCCCCGATTGGCCTGCGCGCCCCATCCAGGGAGGAGGAAGAGAAGGGGTGGAGGGGGGGCAGCAGCAGCAAGGGTAGGAAGAGGAGGAAGAGGAGGAGGAGGAGACGGTCGTAGATCTACCTCCTTCAACACACATCTCCATGTTGGCGAAGGCTGCTGGCAAGGACTACGTTCTTAGGTGCATGCCCCCTCCTCCTCAGACCCCCCAACGCCACTCGCGCCAGAGTGCCCCCGTGTTCTGGCGCACGGGCGTGGGGGTGGTGGGGGAGGGGGAGGAGGTGACCCCCGCGAGGAGGGTAGGAGGAGGAGGAAGGGGAGGAGGAGGAGGAGGAGGAGGATGACGCTGAATTGGTGAGGGGAGGTGCTTCGCAGCTGCACTCCTTCGACGCGGGCCTGAGGAGCGAGAAGATCCTGGACGGCTCGCACTCGGCGATGGCCGCGAGCGCGAACAGCGCTGCGGAGACCGACCAGGCCGCCACGCCCAACCCAGCCGTTGTGCCCCGCTGCTTTCAGCCATGTTCAGTTCGATACGGTGGCGTGTGTTGCAAGGGCCCTCTGTTGCAAGCTACCGTTGATTTCAGTAAAAACCTGTATGCAGTCACGAAGGCGAATCAACCCCGCCTGAAAACAAAAAAGTTGGGAAGAAGGATGTGCTAGTGTTTCCATATGTCATCAGCTTGAGAGCAGATGGTGTTCCTCCGAGATATTTCTATCTGACGAGGGTTCACAACAGAGGTGAGTTCGTGATTGATTCCCGCCAACATCGGAATTTACAATGGCTCAGAGGTGTTGGGGATCGAAACTCCGTTTCGAGCTCTCCTCGGATTCGGCGCAGTGCGAAAATTCTTGGTCGATGTTGGTGGCGCCGCTGGCGTCGACCCTGGGGCAGTCCAATCGGTCGCAGTGCACTCCCACAAACATGTAGGTAGGAGCGACCTGAATGAATACATCACAACTTTAGAACCTAATTTTGATCAGCACGTCCCTCTGAACAACGCAATGAAGCGCCCGAAAGAAAAGCCAACGACGGGTCCGTGGAAAGTGCCGTTTTTCAACATCGGGGTCAAGGCGTCGGTTTTGAAAAAGGTGCCGATAGACAAGCAAACCAATGACATCGACAAGGGGGGCAGCAGCAGTGACGCATCGGACGAGGAGCAGGCGTTGAAGGAGAGGGCGGAGGAGGGGCCAGATGGCGATAGTGCATCGGATGCATCTCCAGGGATTTCAGATTTGGACAAGGACTCCATGGGTTCTCAAATCAGGTTGGATCGCCCTCGTTCTTCCCCCCATCGCCCTCCCCGCCCCCCCCGCTTCCCTCTCCTGCTTACTCCTTCTCTCCCATCCCCACATCCTCTTACCTCCCCGACCTCCTGTCTGCCCCTTTCCCCCATCCACCCTCCCGCGAGGATGATCCAGACGAGCCTCCACTTCCTCCGCCGCCAGACCCTCCAGCTCCACATTATCAAGATGTGCTAGGGCTTGTCGACTGCCACATGTCCCCCTCAGCTCGGTTGGTTTGCCCCTTGTGCGATTCAAAGATCGACAGGGGGCATTTTCAGATTTAAGTATCGGTTCAAGGCCGGCTCGAAGATAAGTGCTGAGCGCTATGTCCACGTTGGGCGTTTGAAGGATTGTTCGGCTGGCAACAGAGCTCACGATCGGCAAAAGCTCGACGAGCTAATTGCCTCTGCTGACGCTGAGGCCTTGCCGAGTCTTCGCAAGGCAGCCGAGGACATATCATAATTTAATCAGACCTTGTACTTTTGGCCCCCCCCGCAGCCGATGGAAAGTCACGTGACCCTCACCCCGACGATCGTCGCGCCGATTGGAAACGGCATGCCACTTTCGATTGAAATTCTGGGGAGCTCACGCCCGACTACCTAAGAACAACCCCCTGGATCAGATCACGTTTAAGAACGGTTTAAGAACAGTTAAGAACTGAGTTTGTTCTTACACCCCTCCCGCCTTCATTTTTTGCGACCCCTCACGCACTTCGGCCCCCATGGGCTAAGAACAACCAGTTGTTCTTACTTGTTCTTAGGTCTCATCCCTAAGAACAGCGTTTGTTCTTAATTGTTCTTATCTGTTCTTAGGGTTGGTTTCGGCATGGGGGGGCCCGTGCGCTGCAGCTGAGCTGCCGATTCGAGCATGCCTGTTGCCGAGGCGGCTCAGTGCCCTCGCGAGGCGCGACTGCGGCAGCGTCGTCACTGTGCACTGGAAGCGTTGCTCGCCAACATACTGTCGTGAAACAACATAACAAAACTACAAAATAATAGCTCGGAGGAAGAGCCCAGCGGTGCTCTTGAATGTCGAAGGAGGAGGATGAGGGAGGAGGAACAGAGATGGAGAGGAGGAGGAGGTCAGAGAGGTGACAGGCACATCATACTGCAGCAGTGCACACCCAGGACGAGCAGAGCTAGGGAGCCACAGATGGGCCATGTCCCAGGGGGGCCAATGCACTTTTAGGGCAGCAGTGCGTCGACGTGGTGGGCATAGGCAGATATCGAGAATGTTCGTTTCATGTCATCTCGTCTTCGCTCAACGATGCTAAGGACCTTCGCGTCGTCATACATTCGGTTTCATTTCGTCGCCTTCGCCCGTTCGGAGGAGGAGGAGTAGGAGGAGGAGGAGGGTTCATCCGATTGATCGTGTTGTCCGCAGGAGCTGACACGGCTGGATGTGGCGCTCCTCTTCATCCACCCTTATCCCTACTCCTCCTCCTCACCTCCCTCCTGGCCCTGTGCTTCGGGCCCCAAATGTTGCCCAAAATGTTGTCCCCGAGCCCTCCGCCCACCCTCCTCCGTCTCCCCTCCAGAAGTCCAGGGGGCAAAGCTTGGGGCTGCGATGCTCCAGCCAGGACCCGTGCACAAAAACGGCAGCAGCGCCCGCCCCCCCCTCGCGCGTGCCTAACTTCAAAAGCAGAGGTGCAGAGCCCACGTCGGCCCCCAACGGCAACCCCCGAAGCAGGCCGGGGGGAGGGGGCAAGGGGAGGTCGGGGCACGAAACCTGGGCACGAACGTTTGCGCGGAACTTGGACGCTAAACTTAGTCAGTAAACGTTTCTTTCCACCGTCAACCTCCTCCCCCCTTTCCGCCCCTTCCTAGCCTTTGTGGCTCAAGGCCTCCCGATTCGGTTTCGAGGCTTTGGCTTTGATTGGGGAACCTGTGCACGGCACAGCGCAGAGATGCCGCCCAAGAAGTCGGGCGCGGCCAAGAAGGGCAAGAGCTCCAAGGGCTCGTCGGACGCTGACAGGAACCCGCTGCTGGACTTCGACAACAGGTTCTGCGAGGACTGCGGCCAGTGGACACACGGCGAGGATCGAGATGGCCCCAAAGGCCAGGTGACATGGCTGAAGTGGCACAAGAGGAACCACACCTCCAAAGGCGAAGTTTTGACGGGCGGCCAGTGCTACGGGTGTTATGGGGCTCAGAGGAAGATCCTCGGAACCAGAGTTACCCTCGCAGATGCCCGTGCGACTCGAAAGAATGATCCTGCCATCGATGAGAAGATCGCGAACTGCCGCAAGGGTTTGGTAGATGGCACTGGCAAGCACGCCAGGACCGACGGGCTGACCATCAACACGCAGAAGTCGGATATGAAGTTCAACCAGGACTTCGACTCTGGCATCTTCCAGCCGATCCAGTACGTCGGCAGGACTCGTTCCCCTTATCAAATGTGGCGAGTGAGGATGAGTGACGATGAGGACGAAGAGTGTGGTGGAGGATGGAGGCGAGGATGGATGGGGGGAGGGTAGCTTGCGCCTCCCCGAGGATCTGGAACCTCAAGTGGGAGTCACAGGAAGACCTCATCCAGCAGATCGAGGCGCGCGGGAAAGAGGTCGTGGATGACGATTGTGGCGTTCTTGGCATCGAGGTATCCGACGTGTCTGGGGTGGAGTTCGGGGCATACAGGTTCAAGCGTGGCAGGGAGAGAGCGAGCACGAAAGTCAAGACCGAGGGCCACGATGATGGGCAGTCGGCTAGGGAGAGGCAGGATATCGTCGTGTCGAAGGAGGGGCTCGGCCGCCGACGGGTCAGCTCTACTCAAAGCCAAGGCTCTGAGCTTGCTGGCGACCATCGGCCCGCAACTGACCGCCTTGTCAGCGCCCCCCAAGGTGCCAGCCTCGTCGACCCAGGTCGCGAGGCCGATGAGACCCTCGCCGACGACAGGTCTGTCAGATCACAGGCCACCTCGGCGAGGTCGGCGGTCACTAGCGTTCCACCTGCGACGCCAGCTCCCTCCCTGAGGAAGAAGGTGCCTCTCGAAGCGGTGGAGAACGCATCATCTCAAATGAAGAAGACACGGGGGACGGGGGCCTTGGCTGCGATCGACAGGGCCGAGGCGACCTTGGAGGACGCGGAGAAGAAGTACCATTGGGGGGGGCACTGGGAGCTCAGGAACCGCGAGAAGGAGTTCCAGGCGTTTATCGCGCGCCTGCAGCGTGCTGGCAAGGCTACAGGGGGCATGGCAGGCAGCCAAGCTGCGTTGGACATCGGCGCCAGGATCTTCGCCATGGCGGACGTATTGGAAGCCGGACAGGGTTTGCTCGACAAGATCGGCGGCAAGCCTCGCGAGTTTTACGCTTTCGCCTCGGCGCCACTCTCACAGGAACACTCGGAGATGATCAAGGGTGCGCCGATGGAGCTCGTGTCCACCATCCTCGCCCTGAACCTCAACGCTCTCATCGACAAAGTCCCGGCCAATCCCGAGTACGTCGGCACACTCCTGTCGGCGCTCACCGTCGAGAGTTCGAATACGCTGTCATTGTCCACCTTATTGGAGTGCGGCGATGCTGATAGGGCGAAGGCTCAGGCTGCCAAGCTCCAAACGTCACTCGTATTGGCCCTGGGGAACGTCGTTTTCAAGATTACCGACGAGTCCGCGATCGGCCTTATCAGCCAGAAGATCGTGACTATTCCCGAAGCTGGCCGATTCCATCTTCGGCATGGACATGGGCTCCGCGGACTTCGTGAACGGCTTGGCCCCGCAGGCGGCCATGGACCTGGGTGCCGTGTCGATCGCCGCCCAAGTTCTCGACCACATGAGGGCTGCGGACGCTCACGGACCCGTGTTCCCAGCCCAGCTTCGCCACTCGATCGTGAAGTTGGTGTCCAGCGTGGCGAAAGTCTCGGCCAGGATGAAGGTTCATTTCAAGTCCCTGGGGGTTCCCATGCCACCCATGGCAAGAAAGCATGGGGAGATATGTGCAGGATGACCGATGCCGCTGCCAAGCACCAGGAGGACACATCCCAGAACGAGTTCGTGAAGAGAGCCAGGGAGCTTGCGCGTCAGGTGCGAGTGGGCGAGCCCGAGAAAGCGTACGAGGCACTGATCGCGGTATGCGAACTGCCCAGCGAGGCATGCAACTTCGGCGACTTCTTCAGCCAAAGAGGCGTCGCTGAAGATTCTGATTCACCAGCAAAGGGAGAGATGCTCGAGGTCTGCAACACGTTCTGCGATGGAACGCTGCAGCTGTTCAACGTGGCGGTCGACCTTACCATGTCGTTCAACGATTTGTTCACTGGCATCTATGAGGGATCTGGGTATACGCCGCCTCTGACGGACAGGCAAGTGAACCCCGATGAAGAAGAGCCTGACCAGTACGAGATGTTGAGGGTGTTCCACACCGCTTTCAAGATCATGCAGCACTTTGACTTGAACGAGGGGGACGCGAACGTGGTGCACCACCTCATGCACCGCTTCGAGGTCGCCGCCAAGCTCTACGACGCGAGGGGGAGCGAGGGCAAGACCGACTGCAAGGAGGTGGTTGAGGTTTGGACGATGGCCTTGCAAGCTGAAAACAGGATGAAATTGGCTTTGAGATCGAGACCGTTGCCAACCACCTGCCCAACTGCACCATCTGCACTGCTGATCCTGCACAACATTGGGTCTCTGTACATGGACGATCGCTTTCGGAGCGTGCTGCTACACAGGGTGTTGGCGATCCCGCCTGATAAGCAGAAGACGCTGATCGGCATACTGGACACGAAGACCAACGTGCTCCCCAAGAGTTCTCTCGAGGTCTTGACGTTTGCCAAGACGCTGGTGCGAGTGGCAGACGCAGACGAGCGTCAACGAGCTGGTCGCTCAAGCGGCCTCGTCGAGCTCAACTCGCTGCTCTCCGACATCGCGACGGCGAAGGCTGACTTCAAAGAGGCATGTGACGACAGCGCACTCGTGGAGCGTGTCTTGAAGCACGCGGAGGCGGAGTGGGACACCTTGTTCAAGCAAACGAAGGCTGCCATGGACTTCATCTCGTCGCTCAAGCTGGACTTCGTGGAGAAGTACGGGGCGCTGTACGATGCGATCGAGAAGTGGGATTTCCAGGAGGTCGACTGGTTGACAAAGCCTTCCGACACCAAGGATCGGAACATGGGGAGTCAGATCGCGACTGCAGTGGCCCAGTTCCCGGCGACGTCCAAGGTCGTCGAAAACGTGTGCGGCAACATCAAGTGGCAGGAGAGCGCCAGGAGCCAGGCCATGATCCAGCTTCAGGCCGCCTTGCCGACGGCGAAGGAGACGCTGGGGCAGGCCGCGAAGCTAGCGGCGTGCATTGCTCTGGCTCACTTGCTCGTGGTCGGCGGCAGCAAGGCCGCCGTGTCGGACTACGACCAGACCGTCAAGTGGACGCAGTCGTGCTTAGGAGTTTCGCACGGCGAGCTCCCCTCGAAGCTCCGCGAGAAGCTTGAGGAGCTCAAGAGGTCGCTGCTCGGGGACCCCATCAACAAAGCTACGGAGTCGAAGTTCAAGGATTGCGACGCCATCTCCGTGGCGACCTCGTCGGCAGCGACCGCGGCGACGAGCCGCCAGAACAGGAAGAGGTGGGCCAAGACGGCATTCAACCAGGCGGTCGTCGCCGACTGATCGCCAGCTGCCAAGCTGGCATGCGAGCGGAGTCAGAAGAGGAGGAGAAGGGATGAGAGAATGACGCAGGAGGGATGAGGGTGGAGGGACGGGAAGGAGTAGCAGGAGGGACAGGGGTGATGGGTGGAGTAGGGGGAATGAGGAGGAGGATGACGATGACGACGGTTGCGTACAAGCCGTGGGAGTGACCACAAATTATGAATGGTGGCGATGACGATGGCAAATGAAGATGAAGGGAGACTGGGCACGACAAGGCCAAGGAGATGAGGATGGATGAACAGTGGGATGATGAGAAGGAGGACGACGAGTGAGGAGGATTCAGCAATGGGGCAGATGAGCAGTGACGATGCTAAGTTGGAAAGCGTAGGAATCTCGGGGGAATGAAGGTGAGGGGGGCAGGACTGGGGAGGCGGACGAGGATGGGAATACATGGGGATAGGATAAGATAAGGGCGAGACGGTCGAGGAGGCGAGCCGCTACTGACGTGCTCGAGCGTCGTGCTCGAGCAAGCTGCGAGAGAGAGACGAGAAGCGCCCGTGGGGGAGGGTCCGCTTCTGTGCAGGAGTGAGCGTTCTCCTCCTCCCTCCTCCTCATCGACCTCGTCGTCGCCCTCCTCATCTCCCTTACTTGTCCTCTTCTGCGTCTTCTTCCTCATCGTCAGCACTGTCGTCATCGTCGCCGTTGTCCTCGCACTCCGCGTCATCGTCGTGATCCCCATCGTCGCCTTAGTCATCGTCGTCGCGTTCTTCTCATCGTGCTCGCGGTGATCGTCGTCTCTCGCATCGTCGTCGGCATCGTGCTCCTCATTCTCGCCGTCTTTGTCGCCGTCGCGCTCGCCGTCGCCCTCCTCCCCTCCTTCCTTTTATTTCGGGGACATCTTCACGAAGAAGGCCGCGGCCTGCCTGCCTTCTCCCCCGCCGCTCTTGGGGCAGGGCAGGGGCTTCTTGACCGCGCAGACCCCCCGACCCTCCTCCTCCTCCCTCCTACCTCCTGTTCCTCGCCCATCCTCCCACGCTCGCGCCGACCCTCCCCCTCCCCCCCTCGCTCCTCGACCCTCCCCCTCCTCCCCTCGCCCCCCCACAACCCTCTCCCTCCCTTCCTACCCTCACTCCTCCGCTTACTCCGCTTCCCCCCTCTCCCCCTCTGGCACTCCCCCCTCTCCCCTCCACGCCAGCCGCCTCCCCTCCTCTACGTCCGCCTGTTCCCCCCGCCTTCACCTGCCGCCGCGCCTGTGGTGTCTGCATTGCCGGATTGGTTGCGTTCCGTGCTGCGCATACAACCGCTCATGAGCGACATCGTTGCCACCTTCGTACGAACACATCAATGTCCCTAAGACGTGAGGCGTTCCGTTTTTTCACCAGAATGTCAACTGTATATCTGCTCAGTAAATCAATATTACTAGCATATGCCACCAGTGGTTTTCAAGGGAGGGGTTCGAACCGGTAGTGACCCCCCCCGGTTTTCGAGGAGGAGGGGGGATGGGGGGGAGGGGTTAGGGCGGGGGGGGGGGTTGCCGGGGGACGGGGGGGGGTCCAGCAGGGGGGAGATTTTCGGAAGGGGGGGGGGCGACCCCCGGGCTCCGGAGGAAAAGGTTGGCAATTTTCCGCAGTAGAGCGGCGGTGGATCACGCTCTCTCTCGATGATGATGATGATGATGATGATGATGACGATTATGATGATGCTGATGATGATGGTGATGATGAGAACGATGGTGGTGGTGATGATGAGGAGGAGTCGGAGGATGAGGGGGAGGAGCAGGAGTAGGAGGCGGCACGATTAGGAGGGATTCAACGCACGATGATGAGTTATGTAGGATGATGGTTTGGATGATTCGACAGGGTTACGCCACATCCGCAGATCCCCCTACGTGTAGATTGTTTCGCATGTTTTTTGGGAGCGTCCAGGGTGGTGGTAGTGTCGATGAAAGCGGGACGGTGTGTTTTTGGGGTGTCTTTGGGGTATCTTAGGCCGCCTGGTGGCCGTCTTGGTCGTTTTGGAGCGATCCTTTTGCGATTCGGGGCCTTCTTGGACCGTTCTGAGTGCGTCTTGGGGCCCTCTTGGGTCGTTGGGGGCCCTCCATCCCCCCATGAGGGGGGGGGCTCAAGGGGGGGGGATAATGGCGGGGAGCACTCTCACACGCCTAGAGACCCACAAGGGGTCGGCGGATTTGCCCTCACCCGATGTCATGCTCGTCTTGGCTTCGTCTTAGAGGCATCGCTTCGCATGCATGTGCAGTCAAGGCGCTAGAATGAAGGATTCTGCTTCGTTTAGAAGGGAGGCTCCTCAGACCTCTAGGTTGGGGAGCCTTCTCGTGGCCGAGGCTCGCCGCGGCCAGAAAAGTCCTGCCGTTCTTCACTCGCAGACACCCGATGCCCTGGTTATTGTCAACGCGTGGCCCCCCGAAATCCCAAACCTGTCTCCAGCGCCCGTTATTCATATCGAATCGTTGTTTGACGGTCACGGGGTCTGGCGATGGCCCCTGAAGAAAAGTAACGGCTGTTTGTTTATTTGCCGCAACTTTGGAGGTCTGTCGTTGCTTGATATCCGACCCCCAACCAAGGCGCTGGGTCGGTTTTGGAGGTTGCCGCGACGATCGCGGTGGCCACAAATCGGGGCAAGGTGCTGTCAAGGAGTGGCACGTTCTTTAGAAACCCGCATCTTTGCGGTACAAACACGGCTCATATGTAACAGTAGAGCGGCGGAGAGTTGGGCAGTCATGTTTTTGGGGCAGGTGTCCATTATCACGTGCAGAAGGGGCGCGCATCAAGAAACCATCTGATTTTCGTCAGGGCACCCTGGGTTTCTTCGCTCCGCGCGCTGCGCGGGGCCCCCCCGCGGTCGTCCAAGAAGCCGACTCGTTCAGGATGCCCGGGCTCTTCCCTCGGGTGCACCTCCCGCGCGGGTTTCCAGGGTTGGGTCTGGCGCGAGGGCTTCTTGCGACCGCGCCCGCACCCGTCCGCCTGCCTCACCACCCACCAAACCACCCCAACCCAACCCGAAGGCCCAAATTTATCCTTGATTTCCAGTGGGGGGGGGGTCGGGGAACATTGAAAAAACACATGGAACCCGTACCCCCCCCAACCCGAAATTCGGGTCAGATTCGGGTCTTCGGGTTGGGTTGGGGTGGTCTGGTAGGTAGTCACTGCCCTCGTCCCGCCGGCCCCGCCCCCCCGCCTGCGCGTTCGTCGCCTGCCTGCCTGCTCCTCCCCTCTCCTCGCTCGCTCCCCCCCTCCGGGCGGCGCGGCCTGCCCAGGGCCGACACGCTGCGAGGCAGCGTGGGGCCAGCTGCATCCGCGTGGATCCAGGGTGCGCCTGGTGCGCAACTCTGCGCCCGCACTGTGCACCTCAGGCGATGCTTCAGAAAACTTAAGTTTTCGGCCAGAGTCTCGATTATTCTTAACTTTTCAATGTAACTCCCAAGATTTTGATAGAAGTTCTGGGTTTTGTTCAAGTCCTGGGACCATGGATTTCTCAACCCATGATTTCTTAAGCATTTCGCAGGGTGTAACCATTCTGGGACTGGCATCCTTCGTGCCATCGTTCCCCGCTGCTCCGTGCGGCCGGTTCGTGTCGCATCGGCGCGGCGGCGAGCCCAGCGCGGGCGTTGCAGATGGTGCGCTGCTGGTGGTCAGGAATCGGCCTGCAATGATGGGCCTGGTTTACACCACCACCACCATATATTGGAGAGGGAGGTGGTCCTCCTCCACCTCCTCCTCCTCTTCGTCCTCTTCCTCCTCGTCCTCCACCTCCTTCCCCCTCCAGCTTATGGTGGTGGTGGTGGAAAACAGGCCCATCATGCAAGGGATGACGTGGCGATCGAAAACACACCGATCGCCCAAAGCTGAACGATCCACGCTGTGTCAGAAACCAACGCTGGGTCGTCACGAAATGAACATGCCATACCCGTTTTGGGCGTGCCAACTGGTCGGCTGCACGTTTCCCGCCTGGGGACGTTGTCGAGTGCCGCGCTGGTGTCTGCAGGCACGTTTGTGCCGCTTCGGCGTGGCGACGACGCCGGTGCGGGAGTTCCACATGGAACCCTAAGCGATATTCTGCAAGGGCCCGTGTCGGTCTCCAGGGCCAGCAGGAAACAGAACACGGCGCGAAGGCCATGCGAACAGATCGGGTCGAGAGTCTTTTCTGCGGGCTCCCGGCAGCGGGCGGCGCTAATGGCTGGACGGTCCGCGCGGTGGGTGGACAATCGGCCCACGTCGTCTTGGCAGGAACTTGCTGTACAATCGAAGACGGGATCGTCGTTTGGCGGGAGTACACGGCCGACGTTGTTCTCGTGAGACACGAGGACGAGTTGTACAACGACGAAAACGGGCCCGATAATTGTCGACGCAGCCACCAGGCGGATACACACGTCGGGGGCACCTCCATGGACCCAAAAAACAGACGGGCAAACGCAATGGCAGAGGGGGAGACACAGAAAAGTAGGGAGGCGATGGCAAGGGCGGGCGCCGTGTGGGGCGGGGCCAGAACTGCGAAACAAAAAGTCGTTTGAAGAGGGGTGACGCTGCAGTGCAGAAGACTCAATCGGCGGCCGCAGCGTCGAGAGCCCAAAAAAGATTCGGCACGGGGGATGCGGCGGGCGCCCCGCAGGTGGTGGCGGGAAAGAAGGCAAAAAGGCGCCCAGCGTGCGTAGGTGTAGCCGGGCTTGCGGATGGCGGGTTGAACGACGGTCAACGTAGTGTCGTGGAGAAGTTGGCTGATCAGGTTTTGGCGCAGGATTCTTCGGTTCCGGCGAAGGTCGGGGGGGCGGGCCAGAGACGCGCCGACGTGGAACCCCTTCTGTGTGTGCGGGGCGGCGGCCCATGGATCCGGAAAAGGTTTGTCATGAACAAGGCCGGGACGGAACATTTCGAAAAGGAGATTGTGCGGGCGCGCGGCATAGACTTCCAGGCGCTAGCGCTGCTGGCCGCGAGCGCGTCGGCCTGCGACGAGAACGCGATCGATCCACATTGCAGTTGACATCGGCGCTCGCAAGACAAGGGGCCGACCGCCGAGGGCGATGGCCGCGTTGATTCGAAGAAGAAAACGGACAAGAAAATTGCCGCGCAAAGGATGTCGCAGTGGAGGTAGTTGCTTGCCGACGAGGTAAGCATGGTGAGCGCGAAGTTCCTTGCAGAGCTCGGTTCGCATCTGCGCTCGTGCATGTCAGCAGCAATCGACGCGAAGGTCGGACAGGGCGGCGTTGACGGGCCGCTCGGGGGCGTGAGCGCGTTGTTCTGCTGAGATTTCTATCGGCTGGAGCCGCCGTCGGGAAAGGCAATCAATGCGCCGCCCACGCCGTGCTTGAAGAATGCGAGGGAGTGTTCGCCAGGTGCCGCGGAGGACCGCGGTCAGCATTTTCTCTGGATGACCAGAGGCGGCGTGGCAGCGCATGGGATGGCGGAGTTGACGCAAGCACGTTGAGGGCCAAAGCGAGTGTTTCCTCGAAGTGCAAAATGCTTGTTTTGACGGTGTGCGGTGACCAAACGCACGCGCAAGTTCTTGCGTGGGGTGGCAGCGGATGAGCCAGGAACGAGGGCGAACGGCGTAACAAAGTGCGGCGGCGTTCGCGGCTGAGATCGCGGCAACAAATGCCGATTATATCGGGCTGGAGTGCGAGGCCCGACGACGCCAGCGGACGAGCGGTTCCGAAATATAGGACAGGTTTAGTTGAGTTTTCGCCACTCATGCGCCTGGAAGCAGAGAGCCGCGCAGTGAGCGAATGAGCGAGGAGAGCACCTGCTTCGGGTTGCAGAAAGATGCCGCCCTTGTCACGGGGGGGACAGAGGCGGTCGTGCACGGCGGGGGACAACATGCGGTCGCTAGGCCACCACGACGAGGACTGTGCGATCTTGCTGGGGGTGACTACCCCTGGCGATGGACATGCCCGCTGTCTTGGGGGGATCCCCTTGCTCGGTAGAAAAGCAGTTGCTGCGGGGGCGCGCAGCGACGAAGCGTGGATGGGCGACGCGCGCGGACGAAGCCGCGCGGGATGACGAAGACGTTGTCTTGCACTTGCCCAGCGTCGCTGTGCCGGGCCGTCGCGCGATTGTCTGGCGCCTCTCAGGTTGGGGGCTGGGGCCGCGTCGAATCTTCCCGTCGACAGGTCGCCGATCGAATTTTGGGGCGGGCGTCGGAAGCATTCAGCGTTGAGTGTCAAGCGCGCGCAGTTCACATCGCGCCGTCGGCGGCAGCGACGGCGCGCGCCGCGCGCGGGCGGATGGCGGGGGCAGCGGCGGCAGACTTCGAAAGAGGGCGCGGCGCCAGTTACACGCCCCGCCGCGCGGCCGTCGCGCGCGCGCGCGGGCGGGGGGGGCCATGGCTGAGCGCGCTCGCGGCGCGCTCGGTACTCAAGGAGGGGGGCCCCCTAGCACGCAGCCGCCCCCCCCCCCCCCCCCTGGGGGAAAAAGGAGGGGGTGGTCCGAAGCTACCTCCCGCCCCCTTTCTTCCGCGAGCATTTCGGAGCTAGGGGGGGGGCCTCCCCCTTTCTCTTCCAAGGCCCAGGGTCAGCCCGGGCCCCTCTTTCAAAAGGATCAGGGGCTTCCGAACCCCCCCCCCTTCCTGCGGAGGCCTCGGCTGAGAGGGGCGGGGGGGGGGGCGCGCGGAAGCCGCCCCTCCCTTCCTCTTCGGGGCCCGGGGCGAGCCCTTGGCGGAAGGGGGGGGGGGGTCGAAGCTACTTTTCTTGTTTGGGCGCCCCGTTAGTTTTCGGTGCGCTCGTGGTTTTCGGCGCCATCGGTTTTCGGCGCCTTCTTGGCGATCGGCGCCCCTTCTGGCCTTTGGCTCTCCATTGGTTTTTTGTCGGTGCCCCTTTTGGTTTTCTGCTCGCCATTTTGGTTTTCGGCGCATCGTTGTTTTTTCGGCGTCGGCTCCACTTTGGTTTTCGGCGCCCTCTTGGTTCTCGGTGCCCTTTTGGTTATCGGCGCGCCTTTGGTTTTCAGTGTTCTTGTGGTTTTCGGCGCTCTTGTGTTTTCGGCGCGCCTTTGGTTTTCGGCGCCCTCCTGCTTTCGGCGCGCCTCTTGTTTCTGTGCCCTCTCGGTTTTCGACGCCATTCTGTTGTTCGGCGCCTCTTTGCTTTTGCCGCGACCCTTTAGTTTATTGGCGCGTCGTTGGTTTTCGGTGGCCCCTTGGTTTTCGGCGCTCCTTTAGATTGCGGCGTCGCCTGCGGTTCTCGGCGCCCACTTGGTTTTCGGTGCCCTTCTCGCTTTCGGCGCCATGCCTGACTTCGGAGCTGTTGCTTGTGTCGGCGCCCCCTATCGTTGCCGGCGACATTGGTTTTCGGCGCCCCCTTCTGCTTTTTCGGCGCCCTTTTGGTTTTCGGCGCGTCGTTGGTCTTCGGTGCGCCCGGTGGTTTTCGGCGCTTCTCTTGGTTCTCGGCGCCCCTCGGCTGCTCGGCGGCCATGTGGTCTTCGGCGCCATCGTGGTTTTCGGCGGCCCTTTTTTGGTTCTCGGCGTTTTTTTTGGTTTTGGGCGCCAATTTCAATTCCGGGGTCCTTTCGGTTTTCGCCGCTCGTTTATTGTGTCCGGCGTTTTTTCTCCGCGTGTTTAGTGGTTTTTTTGTTTTCATCCCATTCGCGTCTCACCCGCGTTTCTCATTTCACCCCTCCTCCTCCTCAGTTCTCCTCAACTCTCCTCCTCCACTCCTCCACGTTCGTGCGTGTATCAGACACGCGCACGCGAGGCATGTGCACACGTACGCGCACGCACCAGCCGCGCACACGCATCAGGGGCATACGCAGCACGACGCAACGCACGGCATCCACACAATACGCACGTTCACTACAGCCGCATGCGCATCATACGTCGCCCGAATTGAGACACGCGTCCGCATGCAGCCGCACACGCATCAGACACATGCAAAAAAACACAACCCACAAGACACGCATGCAGACACACACGCGCACACACACACACTAGAACGCACTACACAACGGTAGTGCACGCCTGGCGTGGTCACTGCATACGCACCCAAGGCGCATGCACCATTGACTGGGCACCCACATGAAACACACGTCCACGTACAACCTGACACACATCTTACCTATACACATGACACGCCGACGCAGACCTAGTCAACCTCGTGCATTCACAGCGCGGTATCTATCGGTATCTATACGCGACACCAGATCACCAGATGGGGTGCGCAGGGGGTGGTGTCCCCCTCGGGCCCCGGGGTCCGGGTCCCGGAGGTCCGTGGGGCCCCGGTGGCCCTCTGGCCCTCGAGGGCCCCCGGCCCCTTTTCCTCTCGACCTCTCCTCCCCCGCTCTTCGGGTTTAGCCGTGGGTAGGGCTCGGACTCCTTCCGTAGCCCTTTGGGCTTAGGCTGCGTGCCTGGTGCTTGACAAAACGTACTCTCCCCCCTTCGCCCCCT